TAGCAATAATTTTTAGTGTCTACTGGGACAGAGGTTCAGTTTTCAGAACTCAATCCGCAACAAGTTACTGCTTCCAGAGATTCAAGTATCATAATTCAGAATCTGCTATAACTGTGTGCATCTTTTTTGCATTCTCCTTGAAATTTAGAGGAATTTGTCACTCTAGTTCACTTGATGCTGTTGTTCACATAATTTTAGTGGTTTTCTAGCCAGGGACTAAATAATCTGATTATGGACATGCAGCCTTTTTTTGCTTAGTGCAGACTCTGTTGTGTGCTGCCTCTTTCTGGCTGGGTGAAAAGACCAAATTGAGGATCCCTCTGCTCACCATTCCAGGTTCTTTTTCAACATGTTGTCCTTTACCACATGGTTTTTAAGAGCAATTTTTGAATGCCCACTATAAATAGGAAATTCCAAATGCAGAAGCAACTTTTTACACAGGCTGATAGAGATAAGAGGAATTGCTTTAAAGTGTAAGAGGAGAATTTTAGGTTAGATGTTAGGAGGAAATTCTTTACTCATAGGGTGGTGAGGCACTGGCACAGCTGCCCAGAGAAGCTGTGGTGCCCCATCCCTGGAGGTGCTCAAGGCCAGGTTGGATGGGGCCCTGGGCAGCCTGAGCTGGTGGGAGGCAGCCCTGCCCATGGCAGGGGGTGGAGATGGCTGGCCTTTGAGGTCACATTCCAACCCAAACCATTCAGTGATTCTGTGATTCTGTGAAGTTAGATGGCTACTTCATAACAGCAGACAGATTTTAGTCACTGCAGCTGAAGATATTTCAAGCAATAGCTGGACATGAAGGTTAAATTGCTGCATCCATCTAAAAGACTTCATAGCAAATTACTTACAGTCGTTTCAACTGTACTTTTGCTGACTCCAAGAGCTCTAACCCACAAAGCAGGATAACATCTTGAGGTGGCTGCGCATCAGTCAAGAGATATAAACTTGCGAAATCTGATTTTCATTTCACAGACTCATCTGTTGGCTAGTGAAGCCATCACTTTCTTTAGCTTTGATGATTTTTTTTTTGTGCCAGCACACTGTCTCTATCTCAATGAAGTCCTAAGGATATCAGTAATAACTCTTCAAGTCATTCTGGCATCTGACTTCATTTCATACCAGAACTACTGAGGTAATGTTAGTAATACAAGCAGTGCTGATTTACTTAAGTAGCAATTGGTAAAGTCAAAAAAACAGGGATTTGGAGGACCTCCTAGTTGTGGTGGGTTAAACATTGCTGTGTTAAATTGTATACACTGAGTTACATTTGGGAATGAATAAGGCTATAGAACTTCTGCATGTTGAAGGCAAAAAATGAAAAATCCCCAGCAAATGTCAGCATTTCTCTCAGGAAACAGAGAAAACAGTCACAGAAAAGATAGAACAGAAGCATCCTGTCACTCTGTAAATAAATCCACAGTGATTTGAATTTAGCTGGGTGAATGGAAGGAGAAAGGCACTCCTAGCACTGCTTGCATTCCTGTTTAAGAGCTGCAGTAGCAGTCACACAACTGCTGAAACTTCCTCCACTTAAGCTTCAGTTGCACATGGGTACATGGAGAAGTGATGAAAAATCTGTCAGCTTTAATAAAAAAAAAAAGAAACTTATTTTTTATTTTAAACAAAATTCCAAATACTAAAAGCTGTCTCTTGAGATAGTCTGTGCGTTCAGGCTTTTCACCTAAAACCTCAGTTTGAGATTTTTTGCTCTAATCTGTACAAATTTGCTCCAACTGCTGACAGATAAACCTGATCAAATAGAAACTATTTCCTTTGTGTGGAAATGCTGGACAATGGGCTAGAACAAACCTGAATACATGAAAACATGCTTCCAATTACTGCAAAGAATGTACTGAGGAAAATCCTGAGGAGAATGACTTGGAGGTGCTGGATGTTGAAAAGCTCAACATGAGCCAGTAATGTGCACTTGCAGCCCAGAAAGCCAATTGTATCCTGGGCTACATCAAAGGAAGTGTGACCAGCAAGGTGATGGAGGTAGTTGTCTCCCTCTGCTCTGTTTCCCCCAGGAGTACTGCATTCAGCTCTGGGGCTCCAGCACAAGAAAAATGAGAAATTGTTCAGAGTAGGTCAAGAGGAGGAGAGTGGGCTGTTCAGGGAAGTGGTTGAGTCACCACCCCTGGAAGTGTTCGAGAAACATTTAGATGTTGCACTGAGGTTTAGTGCAGAAATATCTGTGGTAAGTGGACAGTTGGACTGGGTGATCTTAGAGATCTTTTCTAATCGTGGTGATTCTCTGATTCTATGATGTTCAGAGGGCTGAAGCACTATGAAGACAGGCTGAGAAAGTTGGGAGGAGGCTCCGAAGAGCCTTCCAGTATCTAGAGCCTATAGGAAAGATGGGAAGGGACTTTTTAAAAGAACATGAGGTGATAGGACGATAGGTAATGGCTTTGACTGAAAGAGAGAAGATTTATATCAACTATTAGGAAGAAATTCTTTACTATGTGGCTGGTGGAACAGGTTGCACAAAGAAGCTGTGGATGCCCTGTCCCCAGAGGCCTTCAAAAGCCAGACTGGATGGGGCTTTGGGTAACCTCATCTGGTGGGAGGTGTCTCTGCCCATATGGGGTTGTGGGGTGGTCTTTAAGGTCTCTTCCAACCCAAACAATTATATAATTCTATAAATTCTTGGACTGAGAATCCTGGTAGACACAAGCTCTGATGATGTTGAAACAGGTGTGTTCATCTATAGATGCGTGATAGTGATGGATGTGTCAAGTTTCATAACTTTCAGGGTCAACAGAATGAGTTACTGCATTGCTCTGAAGTTCACCTTGGTCATCTACTTCAGCATACTGAAGGACACAAGTCTCCAGCTACTTTCTTGATGCTGACTGACTTCCGAATTACACAGCCTTACTAGCAGCAACCTGCCATCTGCTCAGAGGTCTGAGCCCTGAAACATGCCCCAGAGGCCTGCAGTTGGAAGCAACAATAGGCTTTCCCCAAACATATGTAAGCTCAGTACCCAGGTACATTCACACGTTGAGTGTATAATTGGAGTAACAGATGGGGTTGCTCAACTCATTAGGGAAAACAGTTCTAGAGTGGAATGAGAACAGACATGAGCAAAATTATTCCTCTTTAACTGGAGTCCTACTAGATGTTTCATTATAAATCCATGTAAAACACTCTTAAGAAATCCTAGGAAACATTCTCTCTGCTCTGAGAATGATGCATACTTTGCTACTGAGTCACAAATTTGGCAGTGCTTATGCTTGCGTGTGTTCTTTTAAAATTGTACTTTTGGTTCCTCATGATTAGTTTCTCTAGAACGAATGTCACACTTCTCTGAGTTTTTACTTAAAAAGTGGGGTTGTAGCAGATATATCAGAATTATGGAAATTATATATTTCACTATATTTCAGATAGGTAGGTGTTATCCTTCCTTGAAAAGGTGAGTTCCTAGCATGCTCCCTATTTCCATGCTTTCCTTGTTATTGCCCACTACTAGGGTAGATTTCCTTCTCTGGAACTCCACTTGTCATCAACTTTCAAACTAGTGCATGCAGCTTAATAGGAAGAATTGCTTTAATTATTGTGCAAATAAACACTTAAAGCACTCCAATATCTCTGTTCTGAGGACTGCTGAAATGGAGTGTTCCAGTGTTAGCCAGTCACCTTAACACAACCCTTCACTCAATAACTGTGAAGGAAAAAATACTCAGTTGGCAAGGATTAAAATAGAGTTTGCAAAGGCTTATGAGCATGCAGGGCAGCAGGAATAGAAAATTACCCATCTTGCTTATAAGGGCTTCTCATCCAGTAAGCTGGTAAACATTTCCCAGCCTTGCTCTCTGAGAACTCTGTGGCTCAAGGAAGCTCTTCATCCTAATTGTCAACATGGAAGAAGCCCAGTAGGAGAATCCCTTCTTTTCTCTAATTAGTGTTAATGAAACCAAGAGAGAAGCAATCTAGCACTTTTACCAAAAAAAGACCAAGCTTCCCTCTATGGAAATAGTAACGATAGTCTCTAAGTCTGGGAAAGAGGATATGCTCTTCTGCTAAATAAGGAAAAACATTCCTTCCCACATTTTTTCTAAACCTTTAACAAGTTGATGACAGTCCCTTCACAGTGGTTTGGGAATTGTTCAGACCCCAAAGGGAAGCTTCTTCTTACATTGTCTGTTTATAATTCATATTAAAAAGTATGCTTAAATCATCTAGAATGTAAATGTAGTTAATGCCTATGGATCTTCAGAAGGTTTGAATAAAAGCAGAGGTGGGAATAGTCAACCACTTCAAGTACCCACCAGACATGTCTTTGAGGAGTGACCAAGAGTTGGAATCAAAATGAAGGAGGCAAAAGCAAATTCAGGGAGGAGACGGCACTGAATTGAAGAGTATGGGCAAGGAAGAAATTGCAGAGAAACTTCTCCTTCTCTGGAAAAATTTACATTTTTTTAAATGTTTGAATATGCTTAATGTCATCATCAAACCAACGAATGAGAACAGTGTGAAGTTACCAGCTAAATCCAGAAGGAAGAAACTATTGTTTGAACTGGAGAAGCTGACACCCCAATACAGTGGTAGAGACAGGTGGTCAAATGAGACAACTTATCAGACAGAAAGCAAACAAAGCTCTGAATAGCAAAGCTGAGCTACATCAGGTCACCACGTTTTAAGACAGTGGTTGCACAGAACGCTCGTTCCCCGAGGAATCCCAAGCAGAAGTCCGTGTACTCAGGTGTGTTGTGCCCTTTTCACCGTGGACGCGATGCAGCTGGGTAGCTGGACCTGTGACCGGAGCAGGTCAGAAGCCTTAGCGAGATCTTCGCGGTCACGGCTTGCCAGAAGCCCTGAGGGCAGCCCGAAGGAAAACACTCAGAGCTGAAGCCAACCCCTCCAAGCCTGACGGTGTCGCGCCGGCAAAGCCACTCAGCTCCGCAGCCCGCCGCTCCCGCACCCGCCGCGGGGCTCCGCCGGCCGAGAGGCGGCCTCTGGGCGGGGCGAAGCTCCGGTGCGCAGCCGGGCGGGGCGGGGGCTGCTGCCCGCTCGCGGTGCGGCAGGGGCCGGGGCGACCGCTGGGGCTCGGGGCACGGACGGAGGTGAGGAAGGGCTGCGGCGTAGGGGGGGAGGATGCGGTGCCGCGGGCTCCACGGGGCTACGGCTGTTTGCCGCGCCGCCACGGAGGGCTGCGTGGGCAGGGAAGGCCTTTCTTTCCCGAGGGTCTCCCGTGTGCCCCGCGTTGTGCGGCGTGGGCTGGAGGCGGGGCGGGCTGATCCCGAGGCTCCTCGGTAGATAGGCTGAACGCTGGGTGCCCTTCAGGAGAGCTTTCTGCTGCTTTCAGGAGTGCTTTGGGCTGTGTTTGCCCAGTCCCACAAAATCTCTGCGCGTCCGCTGGTTTTCTAGGTTTTGTGACGCTTTCTTACGAGTTATTTTCCTTTGGCTTCTTCACTATGTATGGGAATATACAAAAGCGGGTAGAAAGTGCGGTGTATAGGGGAAAAGTGTGGGAACTCACAGCTCAGCCACGCTTCTTTTAGAAGTTCTTAGAGCAGGAAGCAGGACAAAGCTTGGTGCAAATCTTGATGTGGTAAAACACTGCAGAAACGGCTTATTGCATAACTGTGATCAAGCAAAGGCTTTTATAATTTGTTATTACTGTTAAATCGAGAGCTTCTTGCCTCCTTCACGCTTTGGTGGGTGAAAGCAGTGCCCTGGCAGAGCAGCCTGCAGAACTCTGCAGCAGAGCCCGAGAGCAGCTGCTTCACAGCCCCAGACTGTTCTGTCTACAGTCACAGCTCGGTAGGACTGAGTTAGCAGTTGTCAGCTCTTGAGTTGAAGAAATGCTTATGGTTCTTTCCAGAAACAGCTCTTTAAGTTTGGGGAATTTCATCAGGGACTTCTGGAAAATGCTGTTTGTTGGCTTTGTTCTTCCTGAGCTCGGTAACTTCGGGCTTGTTTGACTTGGACCGCTTGTACGTGCTTAGACTCTCAAAAGAGACTTAGAGTTGCTAAATGAACACTCTTCTTTCATAGCAATTGTGAAATCAGAATGCATTAAAAACTGCAAAATTGACATAAGGCTTTGCACAAAAATTGTTTTATCATGTGATTCCTAATTTAGATAATTTTAAGTCAATCCCTGAAAATTACTTAAATTACTTTTTAAATAAACTTTATTTTTTTTTCCCCCTGAGAATAACGCATTAATTTTTATATTATCCTGCATCCCTTATCTTCTATATTTGTATTTTTTATCTCTATGAGCCCTTCTGGACCATTGAAATAGCTCTTAACTGTTCTCTGAAAGCAACAGTGAAAAAGTCGTAATTTACTCTGGATTTAAATATTTTCACATTGCTTTATATTGACAGGAGCTGAAATGATACAGAAAACTGTTAGAAGCTTTGACTGCAAAATGAGCTCCTTCTACTTGATGCTGAAAGGAGGTACCGTTTTCAATTTCTTTGAATACTGATATAGATCGCTTCATTCAAGGTGATTTAGATGCTCTCATTGACTCTATCTTAATGTGCAGTGGAAATCTGTGCACAAGCATCTTTTGGTTGTGCTCAGATTCACTGATGGCTGGTTCCATACATCTACAGATATCCATCTTTTCTTTTTTCCCTCATTCTCTCCCCCGCATGTCGTGGTGAAAGGTGAGGCAGTATGCGCAATGGACATCTTGTTTAGAATCTAGATGTACAGTAGCTAGTGCTTTTCTCAGAGCTGAACAGGAAGTTGGCTTACAGGGATGTAACAGCTGCAAACCGCTTTGTGGGCATTCTTTGATTGGGGTGACTTCACTTGAATTAAACAAAATCTGCTGAGTACTGGTCTTATACTTACAAGCATGGGTTTTCTGTAGTACTGTAACTTGCAGAATTGTCTGAAAAGGAGGCAGTGAAGGGCTAACATTTGTGGTCATCACTATAAAGAACCAGACCACCACAGTGGCCATCCAGGTCCTCTTTCAGAGGGTGCTTGTGCATCTTTCTGAGTGAGTGTTCAGGACAAGGGAAGATTTAGGTTGGATGTCAGCTTTAATAAAAGCTTTATTTAAAAAGTTCACTCACTTAGATATGGTGCAAAATTGAGGCATTTTACACCTTCAGTCTGTTATGCTGTCTGCTGAGATGCTGATCAATTGCTGTAAATTACAATTCCTGTCTTTTTTCTTCATGACTTATTGACTGAGAGTCCCCCTGGCAGTAACAGGGTTAAGGCTACAGCCCTTCACCTAGTGTCCAAATCCATGTGTAGCTACAGTGTTTCCTCTTCTTCAAGGTGCAGCCATCCACTTTAAACTCAGAAGCACAGAAATAGCCATAAACACACCTTGCTTCTGGTCTGTGAGCCACTTATATTTTAAACTATAAGGAATGTAGGTAATGATAAATTTTGAAAGCCACTTAAAGTAATAGCAAAGTGCTAATAACTGTAGGAGTTAGATGCTTCCTAAGCTGTCTTGAATGTTTTGTCATTGTATTGGCCTTTGGAAGAAAATCTTAAAATGTGGAAAATAAAGATACAGTTATGTCTTTTAAAAAGCTTCCTGCAGGACAATTTTACTAATCTTGCTACATGCAGACTTAAGAGCCCAATGTCTTTAAGAACTGTTCTTACAGCATTTAGAGTAAGGCAAGTAAAAGGGAGGCTCTGTGAAGAGAGATGTCCTGTAAAAAAACAGTAAGTCAGTATCCTAAGCTAGGTCCACATATTTTCTGTTTTCAAGATGCTAATTTTAGAAAATTGAAAGAGAAGTAATAAGTTATATTTCAACTATGAGAAGATAGAAAAGTAACTCGGAAATCAAAACTTATCTTTTTTAGTAGATCAAACCACAAATGTGATTGGTGGATGAGTGGGTGTTGCTTTTTCTCCTTTTTTCTTAAAGACTATGCGTACATGTTTCCTTTGAGCTCAGCAGATCTTGAACTGAAAGAGTACTTCAAACTAAGTACGCAGGCAGTAAAGCTGGTGCTCTCTCTACGTAAGTGAGACTGAGTCTCTGCAGCCCTATCACAGCAGCTTATTGCTGAGACAGTTAGAAGACAGTACAGGGTTAATCAATAGGTATGTGAACTAACGACTGTTTTCTTTAAACAAAGTTTGCTATTTCACATGAGTGGTTTTAGATAATGTTTCACTGTATGTTCTGCTTGAGAAGGAATGTTTGTAAGAACCTTGTGTGAACCATGGTTCACTTGAAACCATGCTAGCCAGAATAGAATAGCTCTGCATATTATCTGGTATTTCAACTACAAAAACTGTAGTTGTCTTTTGCTTCTTTTCAGGATTTCAAAGATTTACTTTTGCTGTATTTGAACTGGTGGGGAGGGAGTTTGTAAAGAATAGAGCTACTTTAAAGACTTGATCTCTAGCATAGAGTAATAGTAACTTGGTTATTCTTACCCTAAATTTAGGCATCATTTCCATTTAGTGGTCAAATTAATCTTAAATAGTGGCTGGTTACGTCTGGCTTTGCTGCTCGTGTTGACTTATGTGTAATGTCATCTTCATTTTTTGGTGTAAAAAATATTCTCCAGACGTCCTTTATAGAATTTTTGGTCAATCTTTACTGCAGGTTTTGTTGGTGCTCTTTTGTGTCTCCACTACAGATACAATGAAGTAGTTGCTTTTATATTTAGGATGTCTGTAGAAAAAGACTGGCTCTGCATGTTCATACTGTTGTCCAAATCGTGTGTTTCATACAATCCTTTTTTTCCCTTCTCATTTTTACAGGTAAACCAAAGCTGCAAGAATTATGATCAGCTCTTTGACAAGTTACAGGAAAACCACATACAAGGCAACTAAATAAAGGCTATGGTATGAGTGCTTTTTCAGATATACTGTCCAAAACAAGTAAATACTTGGAAACAGTTATATTCCAATGTTGCACTCTGCTCCATGTGTCCTATCCTACTGCCCCAGCACCTCTGTATGTGAAATGTTCTGAAAGAAGTAGCTAGCGTGGCTTATTTGCTGCTACGATGAACTACAGTGGGTATAAAAGTAATTCAGAGCAGTGTGTATTTTTCAGAGAATGTCTTCTCTTCTTCCAAGCCAGTTCTAGCTGAGTAGAAGACTGGCACCTGTGTTCATTACAGTTTGCAATATCTGTTACGTGGGAAACCAGATTATTTTAATGCTAGAGGGAACAGTGTGCAGTGTAGTCATGTAGGAAAGGCACGACAGCTATAAGCAGATCTTAACCTGCAGAAAGCTATGTCAGAAATGAAAGGGGTTAAATGTTTTCAAGCTGTCTGTCAGTAGATGTTTTGGGAAGGTCTCTGATGACATTTGCCAAGAAAAAAGCAAAGAGAGAACTTGGTTAAGATACAAAGGTTTCGTGGAAACCAGTTCTAGGATACAAGGGCAGTGGTTTCTATTCAGTCTTGCCACTGTTAGGGGAAGCTGCAGAGACCTGAGATGTCTTGAAAGTTTTGCTGTTTTTAGTAACCACAGCAATTCATGTTAGCCACAGTTTACACATTTGGTAACGTTGTCACCCTTAGACACAAATTTAAATTTTTGCTTGCCTTGGAGTTACAGTGTGTTCGTTCTCCAGCAAAAGACTACAAGTTCACCTACTGTCAAAAGTAGTGCTGTCTCAACTGCACAAGCACAGTTTGAAGAATGAAACCTTATGTATCTGCAGTTGTGTGTTTTGTAAATGTGTGGAGAGAGGAAGAGCTTAGTTAATCTTGTTATCTAAATTATACGTTAATATTGCTGTATGCAAGCATAATTTCATTTATGTGAAATGTTTTTGGGGGGCTTTAACCTGCTGGCAATGAAAAATACACTTTTATACAAGAGTTTTTCCAGTAGAAAATTGGAAGCTGTAGTGTCAAGCTGGAAACTCAGCAGCCTTTTGCAGGCACCGACTATTCCAGCAGCTGAAATTTTCCAAGGCTGGGGTTAAATGGCCAAACCCATTTTACCCTCTCCAAGATGACTAATGCTTGTCCTCAATTTTTAAGGAGTAATGTGGGGGGCAGATGACAGTGCAGCTTGGAACGCTCTCACCATACTAACGGAAAATAATTTTGCCTTACAGCATAAGATGACATCTACATTTTTGCTTATTGGTCATCTAATTCTAGTCATACCTTTGTTCAGTGCTGGTAAGTCAGATGTGTTTTTGAAATTACTATTTTAAAAAGAAAGCCTAAAAGACACAAGTTGACTATGTGTAGTAGAGAAGAGTTACTGAGGGAAAATACTGTATTTAGTATTTGTTTTTGTTTTAGCATACTGAAAATATTCCAAATGTTTCTTCTTGGATTGAAGTTGTGCTGGGGGTGGTTAGAACAGGCTGGCATAAATTCAGAGTACTGAGGCTTTGAGTAGCTTCTCCCTAATTCCTTTAAAGAAAGTGTGAAGAAACTAGCTTCCTTGAATTCGCATTAGCTTTTAAATGCCTTCTTTAAGAGTTGTGTTGTATCTCTTGCCCTGAGAATAGACTGGTGGAGGTCAATTAATTGGTAATTTGCAATTACTATTATAATATTTTAATGGTAGTTTTAAGTTCTCAGTAGGGTTTAGACTAGATAAATGAATGGTGTTTATCTTGCTGTTCTTGGCATAAGCAGGCTAATATTAAGGGAAACAGCTCTCTAGGAAACTATTTGAATTAGGTGGCAAGATGGTGTTAAGGTAGGAAAATTGCTGAAGATTTTTTTTTAAAAAAAATCATCAGATGAGCTTTGGATTTACATCATCATTCAGCAAGATTTGCAAAATAAATTGCAAATTTATTGAAATCCCCCCAGTGGGTTTT